ATGTGTGTGTGTGTGTGTGTATGGTGTGTGTGTGTAATGTGTGCTGTGTGTGTGTGTGTGTGTGTGTGTGTTGTGTGTGTGTGTGTGTGTGTGTGTGTGTGGGGTGTGTGTGTTATGTTGTGTTGTGTGATGTGTGTGTGTGTAGTGTGTGTGTGTGTGTGTGTATGTGTGTACTCACCTATTTGTATCACCTATTTGTGGTTGCAGGGGTCGAGTCATAGCTCCTGGCCCGCCTCTTCACAGATTGTACTAGGTCTCTCCTCTCCCTGCTTCATGAGCTTTATCATACCTCGCCTTAAAATATGTATGGTTCCCGCCTCCACTACTTCACTTTTAGACTATACATGACTTGATACTCTATGACTGAGAAATACTTCCTAACATCCTTCGATTCATCGTGAGATGTTTCAACTTCAATTGTGACTCTTGTGTCTGTGTCCATCTCTGGAACATCCTGTCTTTGTCCACCTTGTCTATTCCTGCGCAGTATTTTATATGTTCGTTATCATGTCTCCCCTGACCTCTGGCCTCCAGTGCGTCAGGCCGATTTCCCTCTACTTTCTTTCGTAGGACAATCGCCGTAGTCTGGATAGTCTTGTTTGGCAAACCTTTGCACCTTTCCTAATTTTCTTGACGTGCTTGGACTAGGTGTGGATTCAAATGTGCTGCATACCTCCAGTATGGGCCCTGATGTAAATGGTATACAGGGTCTGAACGCACTCCTTACTCGAGGTATCGGATCGCTATCCGTACGGTTTGCCAGGGCCACTGTATGCTGCAGCAGTTATCGATTTATGTGCCCTCAGGAGATATGCCTCGGGGTTATACTCACCCAGATCGTTTTACCTGAGTGAGGGTTCGTTTGCAGGCTTTGGCCATCTAAACTAAATTGTGTCTGCGGTCTTCTTTTCCCTTCCCCCAATATCATGATTTGCATTTGGCTGGGTTAACTCAAGGAAGCAGTTGCTGGGACCAGGATTGGCTGTCCAGGTCTTTTGTTGTCCTGCCTGATCCTCATCGATTTGATTCTTCTATTAATTCACATCATCTGCAACAAGGACATTCTGAGACTATCCCTTCCGTTATGTCGTACAACAATTACCAAGACACAGCACAGGTCTCGGACTGACCCTGTTGAACCCCGCTTGTACAAGCGCACACTCTGGACACCTCGTCACGTTCCATGACTCGTTGTTGCCTCCCTGTCAGGTATTCTCTGATCCATTGCAGTGCCTTTCCTGTTATGTTTGTGCTTATTTTAGCTTTTTCAGTAACCTCTTGTGAGGAATGTGTACGAAGGCCTTTTTGCAGTACCAAAAAAATGCAGTCGTATCCACCCTCCTTATTGTTATTTTAATTCTGTCACCTTGTCATAAAAACTCTTGTAGGTTTGTGACACAGGAATTTTCCTTTCCCTGAAACCATGCTGGTTGTCAATTATACACTTGTTTCTTTTCCAGGTGTCACACTCTCCTCTGTTGATCTTCTCCAGGACTTGATACTATACACGTTAGTGAAACAGGTTGTAGTTTAGTGCCTCATGGTCTGTCTCCTTTTTAAAAATTGGGACTACATTTGCATCTTCCATACCTCAGGGGAGGTTGCCAGTTTCAAATGATGTGTTGAAGATCTTTGTTAATGGCAACACACAATATCTCTCGCTCCCTCTTAGGACCCACGGAGAGTTGTTGTTGGTCCACGCCTTCTGGTGTGTCAAGTTCGACATAGACAGCTTTCTTCACTTCCTCCTTGGTTATGTATCTCATTCCAGCATTGTGGTGTACCCCACATGTTTGATTTTGGGAGTCTATGGTTTCCACTGTAAATATTCTTTGTAAATCTCGTGTTGAGCTCCTGCCTTACCTATACGGTCGATGTTGTGAATTCCCCCATCACCCTTTCCTCAGTATGATTACCTGGTCCTTGATGTTTGTTTTTCTCCTGTGTGGACTGTAAGACAGCTTAGGGTCAGTTGGACTTTCGATGCTAGTCAATTTTCTAATATTGTCGCTGAGCCTCCCTTCTTATCTGTGGCATATCATTTCTGCTTCTTCGGTAATCTCTTTATTTTCCTGAGTTCTCTGTCTTTGTACACTTTTCCATTCTCTAGTAACTAGTTTTGCCTCCCTACACCTTTGGGGTGAAACCAAGGACTCGTTCTGTTCTTCCCTTTATTTCGTTTCCCTTGGTGGAGACAAACCTCTCTCTGCACTCTGCATTTTGTTGCCACATAGTCTCATTTCTAGTACTGGTTTTCCTGTCAGTTCCTCATCCCATGAATGTTTTGTTGAAGGAAAGTTCCCTCATCCTGAGCTTAGTTCCCCCTTTTGTATTTTGGTTTTTCCCATTCTATTCCTGCTACTCTCTCCACATGGAGTCAATATGTAGTCGAATCACAGAACCAAGATCCTAGTCCCAGGGGCTTTCATACAAGATATCCTCGATGTCCGAATACTCAAGGTGAATACAAGACCAGTCTTGCTGATTCATCCTCCTCCTTTCTTGTAGTGTCTCTAACATGTTGATGATGGGTTTTACTAGTACCACATCCATCATCTTGGCTCTCCATGTTTCGGAACCCCATGGGGGGCTCCAGGTATTTCCAGTCAATCTCCTTGTGATGAAATACCCATAAACTAGTAAACTTTTGCTCCCCCACGGGTGCTTCCTTGGGCCAACTCGGCTAGTGTGTCGACCATGGCTCTGTTGTCTTATCATGTAATCTCTCTTTGTTAGTATCCTGCAGTTCTGTGGCTGGGTTGTACATTACTGCACTTATCAACTTAATGTCCCTCGACTCCGGATTGTTCCTACTTAACGTAGTCCTTTCACCCGTGCCAATCCATACCTTCATTTTCTCAAAACCCCACTGGCTTTTAATGAGAGTGCAAATCCTCCTCCCCTCTCTCCCTCTGTCTTTCGAAGATTTGATATCTGGTGGGAAGATGAATTCTGTTAATATTCTGGTGAGTTTTTGTTCTGTTGAGTTGCTATAAGTTCTGGGGAGTCTCTTGATTCTTTCGTGCCCACTCCTCATACTTATTTGTTATTCCATCTGCATTTGTATACCATACCTTTAAACTTCTTTTTAAGGACGTGGTTCATGGAGGTGTATTGGGGTTGGGGAGTGGGAGATGATACTGATCCGGACCCTATGGGTGGTTGTTGCGAGTGGGGGTGGAGTTTGTAATGTAGTGGGGGGGATTGGATTATGGCATGGGTCGTTGTGGTTTAGAGTGTTTGGCTGCACTTGGGGTGACCTTGGTTGGGAGGCTTCTATAGGAAAGCTGTGAGGGATGTTGTATTTGATCTTTCTTCTGTGTTGGGGATCTCCGGATCTGTCTTTACCATTCCCTCTCTTTCCTCTTTGCTTTGCTTCATTCTCTCTCGTTTCGCCTTTCGTTTGTGTTCTGGTCGCGGTCGAGATACACCTTCTGTTATTCCGGCATGTCCCTTAATCGTGCTTTTTCCTGCAGTATCCTGTTTCCGGAGTAGATTTGCCTTGAGTCACTTTCCACTGGGCCGGTTTCTTTTTTTTACAAACCCCCCCCTATTTCGAAAATATTGTGGGTCATGTAGTTTCTCCGATTCCCTTTCCATGATGCTTTTCAATTTCTTTTTTTTCCCCTTGTTTTCTTGCTTATATGTTTCCCCTTAAACTTCTGTAGCCCATACACAAAGACTGACCTCCCCTTCATTATCCACTGCATATCCCTGTGTAATCTCCCTCATTCCAATTTGATTTCCTCATTGCAGCTTTTTTCTTTCAGTTTCATAGCTATGTACATGGGCTCAGTGGCCTGTCTTTTCCCATTCGGCTTTCCCTGGGCTTTAGTTGTGGTCATTTAGGGCCTCCAAATATAGTCTAAGCGCTTTCATTTACTACAGTCTCACTGATAGAGCTTTCCATGCTGTTTTGCTCCTCCTTTCCATTACAGTCCCTATTTGTGGGCTGAAAGGTAGCGGTCTTGTTGTCAATCCCATAATGTTACTTTAGTTCTTTAGGCTGTTTCAGATTTTCAGTTCCTTCTCTCTAAAACCTGTTTCCTGAGCCTTGCTGCTTTGACTTTCGTTCCCTCCCACTTTTGTTTTCCATGTTATCCTCTCTTCCAACTCTTGCTAAGTTCTTCTAGTTTCTTTTCCAGTTGTTCTTTTTGTGAGCTCTGCCTGCCCCAACCAACCTTGGCAGTTTCCTGTCCTTTCCCTTGGAGTTTTCTTGTTGCTCTCTGGCATCCATTTTTGTTTTATCCTGATTGCCTCAGAGTGGGGAACCTATGTAATTCTGTATGTTAGGTAGTATTGTATATGTCAGATGTGGGGGGGGGGAGGTAGTGGAGCGAAAATGTGGCTATATGGGTTAGCTGGGGAGGGGGAAGTGGGAAGGAGAGTGAAGCAAGTGGGTAGTGGGTGAGGGGAGGGTGGGGAGGGGGAGGGTGAAAGAGGGAAGGAGAGGGAATCAGGTGAGGAAGTGAGATGACGGTGGGGAAGGGCGGGGGAGTGTATGTGTGAAAGTCTGGAATATGTGTGTGTGTGTTGTGGTGTGTTGCGTGTAAGTGTGTGGGGAGGGTGGGGGGGGTGGGTGTGGGTGGGTGTGTGGGTGGGTGTGTGGGTGGGTGTGTGGGTGGGTGTGTGGGTGGGTGTTGTGGTGGGTGTGTAGGTGTGTGTGTTTGTGTGTGTGTGTGGGTGTGTGTGGGTGTGTGTGTGGGGGTGTGTGGGTGGGTGTGTGGGTGGGTGTGTGGGTGGGTGTGTGGGGGGGTGTGTGGGTGTGTGGGTTTGTGTGGGTGTGTGGGTGTAGTGGGGTGTGGGGGTGTGTGTGGGTGTGGGGTGTGTGGGTGGGTGTGTGGGTTGGTGTGTGGGTGTGTGGGTGGGGTGTGTGGGGGGTGGGTGTGTGGGTGGGTGTGTGGGGTGGGTGTGTGTGGTTGGGTGTGTGTGTGGGTGTGTGTGGGTGTGTGTGGGTGTGTGTGGGTGTGTGTGGGTGTGTGTGGGTGTGACTGTGCGTGCGCACACTAGGCTACGCTACTCTTTTGAAGATTATAAAAAAATTTTCACAATCAATTCCTTATTATATGCACTAATATATACTATATAATATTAATTTCGTACACTTGTGTTTGTGTGTGTGTGTGTTTACTAGCTTGTCGTTCTTTGAAAAAGAGGGGGGGGGGGTTACGTTAACACTATTTGTTATTGTTGTTGTTTCACCGGTACTCTCCCGGCCCAGATCTCCGCACACTAGGCTACTTTACTTTTTGAAGATTATAGGATTATTTTTTCTCACTCAATTCCTTATTATTATATACTAATGTTTATTATAACAATAATTACGGGTGCACACGTGTGTTTGTATGTGCGTACTTGTTTACTAGCTTGTCCCTCAGAAAAACGGGGGGGGGGGGTTCACTAGGCTACACAACTCTTCTGGAGTTTACCTGGCTATATTTAGATAATTTACTAACCACTATCTATCTCCTGGTACTGAAATAGGGAGAGAGAGATGGTATTAGCATACAACCAGCAGGGCAGACACTTGAGACTTTAGACACTAACCAAAATTAACCACAAATAGGCAAGTGATGTCGTCTGCGCAACAATGGAGGTTCCTGCTGGTCGTCTATCAACTCCTTCAATTTTGTAACTCCTTCAGGAACTTTATCATGCATTCAAGTTTTTATTTTCTTTTTCTTTTAAGACTTGGTATTCCCTCTTTTTTCTTTAGTACAGTATTATGGTCATAACAAGTCTGATGATGTTAGCTACATTCACAACACCAACAGCTGGGGATTGACTAATTTTTCTTACTTTCAGCATTTACTTAATCACTCTTTTATGACCTTATCACTACACTGCTGCTATAATCAACCAACATATGTATTTGTTAATATTTCAGATCACACCGTTAACCCAATTAACTGTTTGGATATTTTGTGTCAACACTGCGGCCAGCAGCCTGATCAGCTGACTGCTACCCTCCCTCACTCAAATTTCATTCAAATTTAAATTGTAAAAAATTCTTGATCCTATCACATTATTCGCACTCTTGAAAGCTATTACACTCTTGTAGGTATGTTCACTGATTCACTCACGTACGATGACCGCTAATAATATCTTAGGACAGCCACTAGAACGCTAAATCCTGGGAGCACTATTTAGCGATACTGCTTCACGTGTGTGTGTGTGTGTGTGTGTATGTGTGTGTGTGTGTGTGTGTGTGTGTGTGTATGTGCGTGCATGTGCGTGCATGTGCGTGTGGGTGCTCGCTATGTTCGTGTACTCTCTGTAGTCTTAGTGATCTCTTACTAAACTGACCGAGTATACACATTTCTTCTATGTTCTCTTGCTTTCTCACATCTCCATCACGTATTCACCTACATCTCCAAAAAATCCACCAATCACTCTACTTTCTCTCTTCACTTACTTTCTCCTGCAGAAAGTCAGTCACTTTAATTGTATATTGTGAAAGAGCCGCTGACTCAACACTATCTATAACAGCTTCACCATCATTACTGTAAGTATTTAAATAACTATATATTAATTTTTAATGAGAATAATGTTGTGTGTGTGTTCAGAGCGAGGTTGGTGCACGAGGTGTGTGGTGCACAGCGGGCGTGCACTCTTGGAGGTGCTGTCGCCTTCTGGGTCTCTGATGCCAGCATCGTGATACTGCAGTTGGGGCAGTTGATACCTCACAAATATGCCCAGGCTGTCATCCTTTCCACCTACTACATTGCCCAGCTGCTGCTCACCCTGGGTGCTGCCCAGAAATTCTGGGCAGGAACCACTGCCTCTCACACCAGTGTTACCTCTACTGCCTCCTCCCCCTCCTCCTCCTCCTCCAAGGCTCGTATTGCCTCCGTCAGGCATGGCAGCTCCTCCGTCAAGAATAACATTCCCTCTGTCAGGAGTAACACCTCCTCCGTCAAGAGTAGAATCCCCTCCTCCAGAAAGTCAAGGTAACTCAGTATTCATCTCAAGTCTACCGCACAGACATTGTATAAGTCTTTAAGAAGCGTCATCAGTATTCACAGGTGCACGCAAAAATACAACGAGGGGGAACAAAGATAATACCTATTTAGATTCCGCCCTGAGATCTTCAGACCTTAAAATTAGAGCAAAAGCACAAAACAGGTCAGCTTTTACGAACACAGGAAAGTTTGTAAATTAAAGAAGAAATACCTGAACTTAGTTAATGATGGTACAATATAGTTATTGACGGTATGACTTAGTTAATGGTGGTATGACTTAGTTAATGATGGTATGACTTAGTTAATGATGGTATGACTTAGTTAATGATGGTATGACTTAGTTAATGACGGTATGACTTAGTTAATGATGTATGACTTAGTTAATGATGGTATGACTTAGTTAATGATGGTATGACTAGTTAATGATGGTATGACGTAGTTAATGATGGTATGACTTAGTTAATGGTGGTATGACTTAGTTAATGATGGTATGACTTAGTTAATGATGGTATGACTTAGTTAATGATGGTATGACTTA